ACCAGAAATGACATACTGTTTTACACTAGATAAGTGGGGCATCAAGTCAAAACACACATGAAAAACACAAAATATAATGTCAATGAAAATGTCCATGAAAATAAATGTTCAAAGTGTCAAACATGCTATCTTCATGTAGCATGTTTGTAGCTTCACCTGCCCACTTGAACAGACTTAAAGAAAGGCACGGGATATGCAAACTTACCATGTCAGGAGAGTGCCTGTCCACACCAAGTAAGGATTCCATGTCTGAGTTCCGAAACTACCTGGATGACAGAAAACTGTTGCCAGAGCAGCCATACAATTCTGGTTTGTTTTAGAGACTGCTACCCAACAAAACTATTGCCCATAGTGATGAGAGCAATGCACTGGACCATAACTAGGCCAAGGACCCGGTGACACTGCTCTGCTGTGCCAATGAAACTGGTGACCACAAGCTGAATATTACGATGATGGGCCAAGGCTAGAAACCCGCAATTTTTTTCAATACATCAACCACATGATCTTGCATAATGTTTACAAGAGCCAAGCAAATGCATGGGTGGATTTGGAACAGTTCAAAGACTGGTTCTTCCAAGAGTTTGTCCCACAAATGACATTTCCTGAAAAAGAAGAACCTGCCTCATAAGGCATGTAAGGCAGTTCTACTGCTTGACAACTGCTCCGGACACATGCCCAAGAACCCCCTTGTGAGCGGCTGTGGGGGAATTCAGTGCAAGTTCCTTCCTCCGAACACTACACTGAAGATTCAGCAGATAGACTGCAGTGTGATGCAGGCCATCAAGATAATCTATTGGAAACATTTTCTCTGCCGGATATTAGACGACAATGTGGACACTGACTTGACTTCAGTTTGGAGTCTGTCACTCTCAAGGACATACATGTACATGTATGCTACAAGATCAAGGAAGCATGGAAAGCTGTCAAGCCAAAACCAAGACAACTAGAAAAAGACCCTCAGCACTCCAAAGGAACGATACTGCAGAAAAAGATAATGATGATGCACCCCTCAGACAGCTGGTTCGGCAGATTGGAAACCAACAAAACTTGGAAGGGATGGGTGAACTGGCAGTTACTGCTGCATTGGAAGCCCTCAATGACAATTTGCTAATGGATGCTGAAATGGAATGGAGTGATGATGAGATCCTGCAGGCTGATGAGTGGGCCCAATCCAGCAGCAGATTCGATCACTGAGGATGACAGCGATGGTGAAACAGAGCCTCCCCCACTTGCTACATGTACTGGGAACCTGGCATGTTTGGGTCTTGTTCTGTGCTTCTTGGAATCTCAGGAAAACACTGACCCCATAACAATCATCAACGCGCAGCACATCAAGAACGTCATCAGACAGAAGAGAGATGAGGCAATGAAGCAGAAAAAGCTGACAGACTTTTTTCAAGATGTGAGCAGACTCCATCAACTTCAAGCCAAACCGGTCTTTTCAGAATACA